ATAACAACAACCTTATATTAACTTTTTTTCCAAATAAGTAATTTTCTTTTTGAATCATTCAATATTATTTATGATCATATAATCTTTTAAAAAGTATGTGTAAATATTTTATAATGTTTTATTTTTTGTTTAAATTTAAAAATAATTTATATGTTATGTATAACATACGAAGGATCGTGTGAGAAAAGAAGTTATTGTGAGAAGAGATCTAAACCCTTGATCACTTATAGAGATCAATTGGTCTATCTGACTTATTTGCACAGCTCATTTGAGTTGTTTACTTACGACTTATTCGCACATAACATGACTTAATCGTACAAATAGAAATGATGTGTTGTCCCCCTTCAGCCACAAAAATGACACCCCTACCCTTATTTAAAGCACCGCCTCCTTCTTATATGAGACACCCCATCGTTGGCCTCTTTATGATTTTTTGTTTTGATGTTCAAATAATTAATATTGGGGATAAATTGGTCATTTATATTATTCATACTGTTGGTTCAGATAAAAAAATAAACAACACCCATTTATCCAGACAAACGAATTTATTCATACATGACTTAATAATTTTTTTTGGTAAACAGCCCCTTAGTCTCATGTTCATCCATGAATTACGCTTGATACGAATATTGATCCGTTGCATCTCATCTCCGTAAATCTCCTCTTAATCTACATCTAATGGTGGAGAGATTTTCACTGGAACATAGCTTTTCACCAAAACCAGACCTATACATAATAATATGGTTATTTGAAGTAATATATCCTCATGAATTATATTTATTTTTTTATTAATAAATAAAAGCTTATTTTAATATTTTATTGTGTTAGTAGATGTAATTAATGTGTGATTAATGAGTAATTGATATACTCAAAGTTGTCTATATTGGAAATGTGAGTTCCAACTACAGATTTTAAATAAAAACACAAAATGGAATAATTAATAATTAATAATTCCCACAAGGATTAAGTAGTTGGGAAATGATGCAAAAATTGTGCATGGAATCTTTTGGATATGTCCAAAATATATTTTCTAATGTGACATGATCTTTGTTTTTATATTTTAATAACTAAAATCTTCTGCTATAATTGTATGGTGGCTTTTTAGTTAGAGCCAATTATATTACTGTAACTGTCGTTTGCTTAAATTTTAGATTTAGTTCTTAAGATAATTATTTATATTGATGATTTCTAACTTTTTAATTTCATGATGCTAAGTTATCATCATCGGTTAACAACCATTTAAAGAGAGAAATTGGTTTTTTTTGATAAACTATAAGGACCAAAAACGTAATTTACTCTAAAATTAATTTTTGATTCATATATTTTTTTTAAATTTCTTTACTAAAAATATTTCAAGTATGGTTGATATGAAATAGTTATATATATATATATATATACACACACACACACACATACTAGGTTCGATCCCGTGTATTGTACGGGGTAATTTGAAAAATCAAATCATGTCAGGACTTATCTTACAGATATGAATGATCATCAAAAGCACGATGCTATTTCAGACTTGTACTATTGAAATAACTCTGAAGTATAATTACGAAAAATGATCACACTTGAATTTAGAAATAAAACTATATCAATAATTAGTTAAAATGAAGTTAACTTTAGAATAGAATTGGATTTAGAAATGAAAGTATATCAGTAAATTGAATTTAAACTTAGAAGTAAATTTAGAATGACTCTTCAAACTTGTACTCTTGAAATAACTCTGAAGTATAACTCTGAAGAATAACTTCAGACTTGTATTCTTGAAATAACTCTGAAGTATAACTCTAAAGAATGAGTCTTCATGCTTGAATTTAGAAATGAAACTACATCAATAATTAGTTAAAATAAAGTTAACCTAGAAGAAAATTGAATTTAGAAATGAAACTATATCAGTAAATTGAATTTAAGACGAAATCTGAAGACTTTGAGTTCAGAGTTATTCAAATACCCAATATCTTTATAAAAGACCCAATGGTAAAGCTTGCATCATATAGAGCAAGACCAACCAGAGCTCCTCTGGTCCTTAAGGACCATAGCCCATCTGGACTCACCAACCAAGAGCAAGGTCAACCAAAGGCCCTCTAGTCAACCAAAGACTCTAGTTCGTCTACCCAGACCTTCTAGGTCAAGAGAATGTTAAATAATTAAAGAATTTGAGTTCCAATTATAACCAGAGATCGTCTCGTTAAACATGAATATCAACCAGAGCCCCTATGGTTCCTTATGATGGATTGGAATATTTTTCCAAGATTCAAATAAACAATCAGAAGCAAAGCCATCCAGAAGCCAGACCAACCAAATGGGCTATGGCTTACAAGACTAAGTCTAAGTCTTAAAGACTTATCTTCAAAGTCTATATAATTTTATTACAAGACTTGTACTCTTGAAATAACTCTGAAGTAAAACTCTTCAGACTTCAGAGCTCTATATAGGCAAGCCAGAAGCTCTACATGCATGATGTAGAGGCTCTGCATGGTGCTTCGTCTGAAATAGAAGACTTCAGAGTTCGGGTGAGATAACTCTGAAGAATGACTCTTCAGACTTGTACCCTGGAAATAACTCTGAAGTAAAACTCTGAAGAATGACTCTAGAGACTTGTACTCTGGAAATAACAATGAAGTATAAAATCAATCCTATTAAATCAGAGTTCAGACTACTAAGTTTGAAAAAGAAGACTTCAAAGTTCAGACTTCAGAGTTTGGGTGAGCTCAGTCTAAAAAAGAAGACTTCGGAATTTGAATTTCAGACTTGTACTCTTGAAATAACTCTGAAGTAAGACTCTGAAGAATTACTTCAGACTTGTAGTAGACTTCAGAGTTCAGACTTCTAAGTTTGAAAAAGAAGACTTTAGAGTTCGGGTTTCTAAGTCTGAAAAAGAAGACTTTAGAGTTCAAACTTCTAAGTCTGAAAAAGAAGGATCAGAGTTGAGAGTTCTAAGTCTGAAAAAGAAGACTTTAGAGTTTAGACTCAGAGTTCAGGTGAGCTAAGTCTGAAAAAGTAGACTTCAGAGTTCAGATGAGTTAACTCTGAAGAATTACTTCAGACTTGTTATCTTGAAATAACTCTGAAGTAAAACATTTCAAACTTCAGAGCTCTATATAGGCAAGCTAGAAGCTCTGCATATACTATGCAGAGGCTCTGTGTGGTTCTCTACATGGTGCTCCGTCTGGAAAAGAAAAACTTCCCAAATGTACTCAAAATAATCGATCAAACAAGGTAATAAAATCAATTACCACAAGATCAACCAAAGAAGACTTCAGAGTTCGGGTGAGCTAAGTCCGAAATAAGAAGACTTCAATGTTCAAATTTCTAAGTCTGAAAAAGAATACTTCAAAGTCCAGACTTCTAAGTCTAAAAAAGAAGACTTCAGAGTTCCAGTGAGCTAAGTCTGAAAAAGAAGACTTCATAAATCGGGTGAGCTAACTCTGAAGAATGACTCTTTAGATTTGTACTCTTGAAATAACTCTGAAGTAAAACTCTGAAGTATGACCTCAGACTTGTAAAAGACTTCAGAGTTCAGACTTCTAAGTCTGTTAAAGAAGACTTAAAAGTTCGGGTTTCTAAGTCTGAAAAATAAGATCAGAGTTCAAATTTCTAAGTCTGAAAAAGAAGACTTCAGAGTTCGAGTTTCTAAGTCTGAAAAGAGTTCGGGTGAGCTAAGTCTAAAAAAGCAGACTTCAGAGTTCAAACTTCTAAGCTTGTAAAAGAAGACTTCAAAGTTCAAACTTCTAAGCCTGTAAAAGTAGACTTCAGAGTAGGATCCGATTTCCTACTTCATGATCTTCTTCTTTAATCTCTCAATTGTGTCTAGGTACGTGTTTAGGCGGGAAAACACTAAAATCGACTCACCAGAAGATGACACGTGTCATGCTAGTTACTTATTTATTATAAGTATGTATGTATGTATATGTATATATATACACACACATACACACACACACACACACACTCACACTAGAAGAGTACTCGCGCAATGCAGCGAGACATATCTCGATTTTAATGTTCTATTTTATTATTTGTCTTTGTCGATGTTATAATATGATTTTATGTGTTTTTAAGAAAACATTAATGATTTTATTTTTGAATAAAATATAAATTTGAAGATATCATAAAAATTTGAAAAAAAAATATTAATGTTAATATCAAATCAATTATTTAAAAGTTGCCATTTTTTTGTAATTTCTTTAATTTATTTATTTTTATTATAATTTAATTTAAGTTTAATAATGAAATAATTTATTTTTAGTTTAATAATATAACATTCTATAAAGATAATAATTAAGTATTCTGTTAGAACTCAATGA